ACGATGCCAAAACGAATTCTGTGGCTCGAATGGTTCTCGAGAAACTTCGAAAAAAGCGGCGTCATGTTCAAGTGGATTTTGCAACTCAAAAAAAAAACCACGCAAATCTAAAACTTCTTGAAACTTCTTGAAAAACGGGACGGAAAACATGAAATTTTGCAGTAATCTTACGCCACCCTTGCACATAACGACGATCATTTTTCTAATTTCATAGATAACAGAAGACTGTATTTTTTCTGGCCCCTGCCAAGCACATGAAGACTTGAAAGGCGGAAAAGCCACGCAATTCGTGCATCTACGACTAGCGGTACCTCTGAAGAGGTCATTACCATTCAAGGTCAAGTTATGAGCGCGCTTATCGGCCGCTCTCTCTGGGTCAGTGTGTAATTTGAATTTCTAATTCGACTGCCATGGAGGGCCTTTTGATAGCTTCCTAACAGCTTCAAACAAAGACAATGTTTCAATTTGTAATCCCTTGTAAATCAGTCTTTAAAAAAATACTGCTGGAAACAGAGTTTTTGGGCTTTCAGGCCGCAGTGGGAATAAAATACTTCCTGACGTTTCGCGAGCACTGGCATCTTCAGAGTGGTGCGGCGCCGAGCCAACCACCTCCGTTTCCGCAACCAATAGCCCGGCAAAACCACCAGTTTGAAGCAATGACCGATTGCCTGTTTCGAAAACCCGTTTTCAGACAACTTTGATGTAATGGGGCGCGCGACCGTAATAATACAAAATTTAAGTACCGAGTTGACCGGGTCATGCGAACAAATAGTGTGAGCAGCATGTAATCCATCTCCCAAGCCAAGCAATCACTCTAAAACCGAAAAACAAACAGTCGCTTTTGATGAATTTTCATAAAGAAGCTACTTGGGGTGGCATTCATTCCTTCTGCAATTGAAGCCTTACCAAACCATCGTTCAATTCTAGGCAGGCGATTTAATTAAAAAAAAACTCACCCTGAACCTTGTCGCAATGTAAAATCCGTGTGCGTGCTTCTCTTAACGGGACCGAAGTGTTTCCAGCCGATTCGAGCGCGAACTGAAGTAAATGTAGCGCGCAAACTGGCGAAAATACTGTTGTTACGGTACCCACCTAATGCCGTATTATGGTAATCGGGTTATGTCATTTGGCCTAGTGGTGCCAAAATCTTCGCGCACCAAAAACCCCAGAATAAAGTGAGCTCGCCAACGGAAAAACCACTAGTTTGAGACACCAAAAAATTAATCCGGGGCAAATAAAACGCCATGGGTACAAGTATCCATTCTTGACAAAGTGGGGAACAAACCAACGGGCTTTTCAAGCAAAGAACGCTCTTTATCATGAAAACAAATTTCAATCACAGATTAATAGCCATTAATAGAGTAAGCGATGTCCCAGCTGTGGGTCACAGCCAACGGGCTTTGAATTTCCACGCCTTGATTGACATCAACCGTGCCTTGCTGGTACTTGTCGTAGCCTCTGGCATCGCGATAGTACAGCACCTCCATGCAGCGCGCCACCTGAGCTCGCGCTTCCGCCATATCCAGCTGGGGAGTCTTATCCAGAACGTCTCTGAGTAAGGGGGTGGCGATGTGAGCGCCGTAACCCGTGCAGATCGCTTTGTCCTCGTAGGCCGTGCCCTGCTTATCCACGGTGCCCAAGAAGGGTTCGCCATCCTGTCAACAACGTGTGTAAAGCGGGCTGTCCTGGATAATTGAGGGCTGCAACTTAATCACATACCTGGATACCAGCTATAATGAAGTTGTTCCACAGAGGATCCATTTGGCTACGTCTGTTGTAGAGGACTCGCGTCAGCCAGCAGTAGAGTGCCTTGGGCTTCAGGGGAAGCCCATCATCCAAACACTCTTCGCTGATTCTAAAAACAAACAACTCAATACCAATGGTTTGGACTTGTTGAGTAGAACACTAACACTTTTTGCTCGACTAAATTTTTGACGAACTGAAAGTCCGCATAATCGCCACTTGCTGCCAGCAAGAGGTTGTTGTTGATTTTGACGATGCGAGGACAGTTGGAGTATCTGGCCAGGGATCCGTATGAGGCCAGCAAGTCGCCTGCCACTACGATGCCATTGTTGTACGTCAGAGCCACCAAGGAGGTGGACGTTGTTACTGGACCCCTGAAACCAACAGCCTTCTGTAGAAACTCTCTGACGACTCTGCTTAGTCGACTACTTACTGCGAAAATTGCTTGAAGTTGGAAGGGCCGTCCGGAAAGACCATCCTGGGTAAGGTCGTTGCCGAAAGTTAATCTTGGGCAAGTTGAAGAAGGTTGGTGGTTCTGGACGTCTGTACCAGAATGAGAGGGCTGAGAAAATGCTGCTCACGTTTTCAAAGCAAACGAAATTACTAACTTCTGTGCTGTATAGTAAGTAGCTTGTGGTTCTTGCAATGAAAACACAACTATCAGAATGACATGGCGATTTGTTGGTTAGCTGTGGGTAGTCTGTGGACGAGTGGCTTGTTCTGTGCGAGTGGCTCATCGCAGTAACGCCTGTCATGGATGTCATTTGGATTCAACGACACTAACACAAACTAACCTAAAATTTTCAATTTTGTTTTGTTTATGGACGGTTTGTTTACATACGCCTAGCGTTTATGGCTAGTTTATACGTTTTTATTAGTTTTCCATTTGGAAAGTTACTTAAACAAGAAGAAAATTAAGTCCTGCGTACGCCATTATATATCCTTATGAAGTTTATTGGATAAACAGGGATTGTTTAATGCCTTTCACGATTGATAACGTGTAACAACACAAACACTACACTTACATATTTGCTTCTTGTTAAATTATGAAAAACTTTCTAAAATGTTCAAACTAATTAGTGATGAGCAGAGCAAGACCAAGACTTTCTCTTGATTAAAAGAGCAAGTCTTGGTTTTGATCTTGTTCTTGCATACATAGTCTTGCTCTTGGTCTTGCACGTCCTGCTTTTATATAAGCCGTAAAATGCAACGGAATTAAGTTAATAATAACAAGAATAATAGTTGAATTAAAACACGATAATAATAATCATTACAAGTCAATAAAAAAAATGTCAGACTATTTGCTGTTTTAATAAGTTTAATTATTTTGTAATTCAAAATTGTTGACCCGTACTTTTGCATTGGCTGTTAAGATCCAGAAGATCTTCATCCAGATAAATTGAATATATTTTCATGTAGTGTAATTTACATATTCTAACGAAAGTGTAACAACAATGAAACAGTAAACGGTAGATATTTAAATATTTTAATTGGGCTTACAGAATTTTACTGATGAAGTATTGAAGAAACTCACTTATTAATAATGTACATGATTCGTCGCAAGGATTAATTTATAGTACTGTTTACACAGCAACTATGTGCAAGGAATATTGCAAAAATAATTACTAAAGTACATTGTAAACTGTTCATAGAAATTTATTTACTGCTTGAGATTTTACTGTTTTAATTCTCCAATCCGCTCAAAATACGAATTCGCAGGCACTTCGCTATGGACATAAAAATCTTATATCTAGTTCGAGTTTAACATATATTCAAAGTAAACTATCTGTCTGAGTGTCTATATGAAAAACGGTACCGCCAATTAATACATTTGGACTTGTCTTAGAAAAAGTTTGATAATCTGTGCTTTGCACAAAATAGCATTGCAATTCAAACATATAATGTATAATTTTTACACGATTCAAATACTGTTCGTTTTTGTAATGGATGAGGTTTAGGAAATGCTATTTGCCTAGAGTTGGTATGCTAGAGCTTTGGGCTGTATACGCCTACAGCCTGGCTGATTACTTAGTAAAACCCTTTCGCTCATCCCTGAGGTACTCCTTCGCTTGCCCTGTTTATTCAATGAATAAGGATATGTAATGGCGTACGCAGGACTTCATTGTCTCCTTGTTTCAGTAACTTTCCAAAGGGAAAACTAATAAAAACGTATATACCATAGCCATCAAACCTACGCGAATGTATACAAGCCTTTCATAAACAAAACAAACTTAAATTTTTTAGGTTAGTGACGTTGAATCCAAATGATGGATCCATGACTGTAGCTGTACCTCTTCTTCTGTCTGGAGGGAATATGTGTCTTTTTGAATTTGAATATTTATTATTTTGTTAATACTAAACCCTCTTTCAGTTTAATGTACAAGGAAGCAAAAATAAATATAATTTTTCTAGAATGTTTTAGAAAATCTGAGAGCATTAATGAGAAGTTAGTTATTTAATTAAATTTTAACCACGTCCAAGCATCACCGCTCGGTCGCTTCAGACAGCGTCCCAAATCCCATTGACTAGCTGACATGACAGTGACAGTGGCACTGCTGAGAAAAGAAGGATTCCTCGATATTCGTCTGCCAATTTGAGACAATTTTCTGTGAAGGAAATTACCTGGAAATACCAGAAAAGTTCAATTAATTAGTGCTTGTGTCCGGTTTTTTCGTTTTGTTGCCTGTGTTTCATGTTGTTGGATAAGAGCTGAGCATTGGCCAGAGGTGAGTGTTCCAGGGTGTAGTGGCTGTACAAGAGTGAGAAAATTTACCAACATTTGCCAACGTATACTGTAAAAAACTAACATTCTAATATTCCATAAACGTTCACAACGGGCAATTAATAATTCCGAAGGGCAAAATTTCCGTTTACACTCGGTGCAAAACGGATTCGCCAACTTCTACATTGCAGGCAATTGCAACACTTTTGCTTTATGGTATTAGCAGCACAGCTTATATATATGATATATAAGCTGTGTTGGTAGTATCTGATGGGGACTGTTCAATTAGTGGCGACCTTGGGGCGCAAGGCCTAGGCTTCTATGGACTTTAATTGGAGCTAATTCTACAGCAACAAGTTCCACTCATCTCACAATAATTCATGTTGTTAGTAATTCATAAACACCAAAATAGTTAATTGCGGGGTGAAAACTTTCCAGCCGAGAGTGTGTTGTGTGGCTGGACAGGTTTCGGTAAAGCCATCCTGCAGACGCTTGTCGCTATATTTAGTAGGTTGTTTGCAAACCATGTACAAAAGGTCACTGCCCCTAAACTGGCGTGTATAAATAACTGCTACAATCAAACCATCTGTTTCCCTGTGGCCCCCTTTTGGTGATGAAGCGCTTTCGATCCGCAGTTGAGCCGCAATGGCTTACTCCTGTCCCCGAGACCTGGATGGGTTTGCTCCGCTCCTGAGCAAGCCGGACACCCTGCTGAGGCAGCAGTTGGGCCAAGACCTGTTGAACTTCTTGGCCGAGCCGGCCAACCCCATCAGCTGCGAAGACATCGGTCAGTTTATTGAGAGTCTTGTACCCTGGACCAACAACAGCAACTATAAGGTGAGTGCGTTATTTTTGGCAGCGCGTCATCAAAACAAACTAGTGTTGAACAACAATGTCCTGGTTCAGTTGACGTCAGTGGAGACTGTTCTCCACATTAGTTCACTGCAGATTTATGCACAACCAGTTGCTTTCACTATGAATATTGCAACGTTCCGGTCATTACATGCACCTCGAGTACCAATCCCGACTTGATTGCTCTTGGGAAGCTCGATTCCGATCAGTTTTCCCGCTGGAATGTTCACATTTCTTGCAGAAGCCGGGTGTAGGTAATCGCTTTGGCAACATGTGGGGATTGGCCGTTGGATTACCGTGCTGGATGCAAATAGAACTAGTTATTTTAGTAAGAGCTGTGCCGTTTGCAGCGTTTGTGCAAGCTTGCAAGTGATCAGTTCTAAGGTGAGATAATAGTCCGATTGCTTTGCAACAGTCAGTCAAATATTTGGAGCAAAATCCTAAACAGAACGGGTTAGTAACCCGGAACCCCGCAGTTCTTCAAGCGATGGCCACGAAGGCTCTATCCCTTTCACACCAGCTAAATAGCAATTGTCGTTGGTTGTTGGTACTAGACGAAGATTATTTCAACGCTGGTGGAAGCATGCCCACATTTTTCGGGACGCCTCGCACCCACCTAAACAAAGTAAACCATTTCCTGGTTCCTGATCTGATCGAAAGCATTGTAGTCCTTGAATCAAGTGTTCTTTGCTCGCTGCATCTGCTCTGCTGACCGAAATCTATGTGAATTTGCATCAGCTACTAGTTCGTTTGCTAGTTGGTGCTCCTTGGAAGTGCGTTCGCATCAAGTAGCATTCGTCAAGGGCGTATTAAACCACTTAGCGTGGTTTAAGGTTCGGGTTGGTTCCAGCGCGAAATGGGCCAGGCGTTTTTGTTGTTTTTCAATTGCAACGACGCAAATTGAGTGGGCCGCCCCTCGATTCGAGCATTGATTATGACAATGGGCAATTAGCATGTATTTATATCGACTTGGGACGGCCTAATTAGGCAACAGCCATCAAAAGATTGGACCATTTCTATCCTGTTTGTTTTGTCAAGGCAAGGCGGCGCTTGGCCAGTGCTGGTTTATCGACAAAACATTGTTTCTGTGCATGTGTAACGCCTATAAAGGTAATATTTATAATGGCGAACACTCGGGAAATTTGAGTTGCTACAAGATAATGCTGGTTTATGAACTTTTTTGGTTTTATCACTTTCACATTATGGAACTGTCGCCAGGTTGCCAGCCTTGGAATTGAGATCCTGACCTTCCTGATTGACCGATTGGGCCACGATTTCCGGCCGTACCTGCAGACGGTGCTGCCGGCCACGATTGACCGTTTAGGCGACGCGAAGGACGCGGTGAGGGAAAAATCGCAGCTGCTCATTCTGAAGCTGCTCGAGCGCAATGTGCTCACGCCCCAAACACTCTTCGAGAAGCTCACGCCCGGATTTACGCACAAAAATGCCAAAATTCGCGAGGAAGTGCTGCGCTGTTTGGTCAACACTTTGAACGAGTACGTCACAGCGCCATCGAAACTCAATCGCTAACGAATGTTTGTTGTAGACACGGAGCGCATTCGCTCACCCTCAGCAAGTTCATTCCAGACATTGTAAGGTTGCTGTCCGATCCGACATCGTCAGTGAGAGACACTGCGTCCGCCACCCTGGTCGATCTGTACAGACACGTTGGTGAAAAACTGAGGATGGACATCCAGAAGCGAAACCTGGTGCCGCAGGCCAAATGGCAGCTTTTGTCCAGTCGGTTCGATGAGGTGCGGAATCGCGGCGAACTGCTGCCCACCGCCTCCAAGACAATCGAGCGTAAGCCCATTTGAAACGAGTAGCAAACGCGCTTGTCTTAAACGACTGTTCTTTAGCAAGCTTTGACGAAGTCGATAGACTGCAACGAACCCCAGCACCAGTCAAGATGAGCAGCGCTTCAACGGTCAAGTCGAAACCCAACTCCGCCAATGCGAATTCAGGTATTGATTCATTAAAAAACGATAACAAAGGACTATTGCAAACATCCAGACCAATATTTGCTTGCTTCTTACAGCAGTTTTTGGTTACGGCTATATAGGTATACAGGGCTGAAATTTTGAAAAGTTTCCAGAGAAGGGAGTTACCATTAAAACAGCCTGCATTTTGGGCCATCGGCTGCATTAATACGATGATATCACTCGTTTTCTATCGTCGTCGATTGAATTGTACATACATGACATTTTTTGTATTTCCTTTGACTAATTTGCATTTATTTTATTTTCATACGATTAATTTCCGCACTTTCATCTAACCTTTCATCTGCATGAGATCAGGTTTAAGACGAGTGGGCTCTATCCGAACACTTTCCAATCCAGCTTCAAGTAAGTTTATTGCTATTTCAACCACGATTTGAAGATACTTTCCCCCTGGTGAATTGGTGGTTTACACACACATTTGTACCTTCCTCCATCCCTCCACTTTACCAACTTTAACCCAAAAACTGGTTTAGCTGGCGCCGTGGACGAGGAACTGTTTTTAAGATCATTTGAGGACGTGCCGAACATGCAGATCTTCTCCCCACGAGATGTGACCGACACGATGAAGACTATTTATGCCACGATATCGGACTCGAGCAAGGACTGGAACAAGCGAGTGGAGGCGGTCTGTTTGGCGCTGAAAAATGCGGTTGAAAACAGGGCTGATTTCATTGTGTTTCAGCTGAAGAAAATGCGCTCGCTTGTAATGGCTGGTGCGACACACTACGAAGACTTCTATGTGGAGCTGAAGCGATTTGACATTGCTCTGCAGGCCTCCATCAAAGACTTGCGTTCCCAAGTGGTGCGTGAAACCTGCATAACCATTGCGTATCTTTCGCAGACCCTCGAAGCCAAGTTTGATAAAATGGCAGAAATGCTGTTGCATCATCTGATTATGCTGATTCAAAACTCCGCGAAGGTACGGTTGACCCGGTTGTTTTTGGGTGATTTTATCTGAGGATCGTTGTAGATCATGGCCACATCAGGCGAGGTGGCCGTCAAGTTCATCATCAAGCACATCCCGAATCCGCGGTTGATTCCCATCATCACCAACAACGCAACAACTTCCAAAAGTAAAGAGATTCGAAGGGCCTGTTGCGAGTTTATCGAATCAATGCTGGCGCTTTGGCCCAGCCACTCGTTGGAGCGGCATGTTGTTCTCTTGCAGGAAGCAATCAAGAAGGGCGTGGCCGATGCCGACCCTGAAGCCCGAGTCTTGTCCCGAAAGTGAGTTCAATGGTTGTGATTGAACGGTTGCTTAATTTGCTCTGTTTTAGAGCGTTTCATCGTCTGCGGGATCATTTTCCTGATCACGCAGAATCGCTGCTTCAGTCACTGGAGCCGAGTTACCGTCGAGCGCTGCAAGGAGGCGAAACCATGTCCTCAAGTTGCTCGAACAGCAACTTGAATAGCTGCTTTAAGAGCTCCCGGATGTACGCGAAGCCCACAGGGGTGCAAAGCGCTTCAGGTGAGCAGACCAGATATTCGTTCATTCGTTGAACACCGGCAGCGGCGCAGGCAATAATATTGGTGATTTTTAATGCTGCTCTTAATTGGACACGCTAGGCAGCACGGAAAATCTGGCTAGCACTGGTGGTGGCCTTCATAGGGCGCCGTCGCTGCCGCGCAGCTACAGGCAGCGCAGCGGAATCCCAGTTTTGTCTAGAGCTGACAGTATGTAGTCAAAATCGAACTGTTTTTTGCAACTTTGCACTAATGCGTACTGTTCGGACGATGCACAAATTAATACCCACACACTAGAACATTGTATATTTGAATCAAATTTGACTTTGAGCCGCAGCCAAATCCACTATTTTTTTTTAAATTAAAGTATGCACGTTGATTTTAGATACGCCTGGTAGGAATGGGTTTAGGAGCAATTCGGCAATTGATCTCCAGGCAGCACAGCGAGCTAAAGCGCGGGCACAGTACTCGGCAATGGCGAGGAACAAAATTCAGTCGGGCACCGCCAGTCTTCGTAGGTTTCATTGACTTTCATCCTTATTTTGTTTTACTAGTACGTGTGGCTTGGTGTGATTTGAAGCCGTTTGCCATCTACGTCACCTAACATTTTTTTTTTTTTAAACGCTGATAAATTGCACCAATTCCACGTTGCATGAAATGTTTGTTTTGCTTGACTTGAACGCAAAATCGCAGCATCCCAAATATATAAAACGGTGCTTAATGTAGTTGTAATAATGACGAGTTTCTTTGTGTTTCAACTAACCGAGTTGCCTTTCTTCATGTGCGTGCTTGCAGAGGGGGAGGTTTTCCAGTCAGGTAATGCATCGCTTAACATTACACCGCGATCCCAGCACAGTTCCCATTCATTAATCGTTAATTTTTCCGTTGTAAAACAGCTCGGCCTAAGCGGACGGTCGAAACGTTAGTCAACCCGTCTCCTGAACGCGTCAGTCGGACCAGAAACCGAAACTCCCAGTCGCAGCGTAAGTTCCGTCGAACCGACTCGAATTTAAAAAGTTTACGATTTTTCTTCGATGCAGCGACGAGTCGTTCAGGTTCGCCTAGTTCTCGGCTGGCTTATCTGTACAACCGGTCAACAGACCACGATTCGCCCAGACCGCGACGAACATCTTCAGGAATTCCCCGATCCAGCCAAGGTAAATTAGGCTCTTTTACTGCCATTCATTTTATCCAGTGTTTACGCAAAAGGCGCCAAGTGCTTCTTTATGATCGGAAAATAGCAGTTTTTGATTCATTAGATTAAAAATAAATTTACATTTAGGAATGTTTTCCGGGCTTTGAAGCCGTGGTCTATCGGAATTTCTTCCTGACGTTTCGTCCACAACTGCGGTGGACATTTTCAAAGGCGATGAGGCAGTGGGCGAAGTGATCTCCCGTGCTTCAAGACCACGGCTTCAAAGCCCGGAAAACATTCCTAAATGTAATCTGACCGGCCGTGAAAGCCTTCATAGTCTGATAAAAATAAATTTTTTTGTTACTTGAAAGTTAATGTTGCTTGTTAAGGGTCTCGAGATACGTCGCGGGAAACGAGCCCGAACAGGAGCACTGGAATATCGCGGTTTAGGAGAGGCGCTGACAGGCCGCCCCTCAGTCCCGCGTCCAGGCCCGTGCTGGCGCAAAAGATCCTGCAACAAAGCCGCGAAGCCGAAAACGCCCTGGCCGACGCTTTTGTAAGTGCTCGAGCTGGATTTGCTGGGTTGTTGTTTTGCGAATTGGTAACTGTTAATTGCAGAATGATTCGAGCGAAAGCCAGTACCGCGCCGCAGGCAGGAAGTCGATGCGATCCATCGACAACCATTCCGACGAGTCGGAGACCTCGAGTATCTGCTCGGAGAGATCGTTCGACTCTTACAAGAGGCAATCCGATGTAAGTTGGCACGGTTTTTTTGCACTCACGTTTATTTATTATTTTTTTGTTGTTGATGCACCTAATCTTAGATTAACAAGCATCCTAAATGTAACCTAAATTACTATGTTTGTTAACTGTGATATTCCCAGCGGTCCATCACAGGTTTTCGCATGGTTTCGCGCACTAAACTGTTGTGGCTAACCCGCACTATACTCTGCTTTTTCACGATTCATTTCACGTTAATGTTCACAAGCTCAAACGGTTTAGTCCTTTTCAGCCTCCTCACTGTGTTCTGGCTATCTAGCAGTTGAAGTACTTCAACATTCGGATGGTTGTGGAGTCTCTCTTCATGTCTCCTGGCTGCTATCGCTATTTCTTCTTTGACTGTCCGCACTTGTAGCTCACGATGCAGATCCTCATTCTGAACGTACCAGGGTGCATTAACAATGTTTCTTAGTAATATAATAATAATATTTCCACACTGGTTTAAGGACTTGTTGGTAAACCAGTAGTTTGTTTTTAATGGAAAGCTGCGAACCTCTTCCCAGCAGCCAATACATGCTTTTG